TGTGTGTGTGTGCGTGCACCACGGGTGCAACTGCGCTTTTATAGGCAGTGGAACGTGAGCCATTTGCGTGCCCACGTAGCGCGAGCAGCCGTGCGTGCGCGCCCCTGAGTGCCCTGGACGTGCGTCAAATGCTCGCCCCTGTAGGAAGAGACCTGCACATGCGCACGGCCCCACATGAAGTCTGCGTCACCCGTGGGCGCCCCCTAGGCTTGGGCTGTACGTGCAGCTGTGCGTGCGTGCCTGCGTGCCCCTGTGCATCCGGGACATGCGTCAAATGCTCGCCTCTGTGGGACTAGACCTACTGCACATGCGCATGTCCCTGCATGAGGTCTGCGTGCGTGGGCTGTATGTGCAGCACGTGCACGTGCGTCCCCCGCCCCCCCCACCCCGTGCATCCTGGACGTGCGTCACGTGCTCGCCCCTGTAGGAAGAGACCTGCACATGCGCACGGCCCCACATGAGGTTTGCGTCACCCGTGTGTGCCCCCATGCGTCCTGGACATGCGTCACGTGCTCGGCCCGCAGGAAGAGACCTACTGCACATGCGCACGGCCCTGTATGAGGTCTGCGTTGCCCCTGCACGCTCCCTGGTCGTGACACGTGCGCGCCCTCGTGTGTCCTGCTATGTGGGCACTTGCGCTTGAAGCCTGTACATCTGCTGTGCGTGCATCAGCCTCCTGTATGTCCTACGTGCGTGTTGTACGTGCGTGCTCCCTGTGCATACACTGTATGTACGACCCCCTCTTGCGTCCTGTACGTGGCCATGCGTGCTGTACGTGCACGTCCCCATGTGTTCTGTACCAGTTGCACGTGCCTGTGCATCTGTCACCTTTGGCCCTGTGCGTGCTATATGTGCCCCACCCTCCTGTGTCTTCTACGTGCGTGATGTACGTGCGTGCGCGCCCCTGTGCGTATGCACCTTCTTGCATCCTCTACATGGTGACTGCTGCATGTGTACCTTACTCATGTCCTGTGTGTGCTGTACGTGCGCGTCCCCATGTGTTCTGTACCAGTTGCACGTGCCTGTGTCTCTGTCACCCTTGGTCCTGTGCGTGCTATATGTGCCCCACCCTCCTGTGTCTTCTACGTGCATGATGTACGTGCACACTCCCTGTGTGTGTGCTGTACGTGTGGCACCGTCTTGCGTCCTGTACGTGGGACCTGCTACGTGTGTACGTCACTCGTTGCCCGTGTGTGCTGCACATGCGCGTCCCCGTGTATTTTATCTTGCATGTCTGTGCTTATGTCACCCTTGGGTCTGTGCGTGCCTTAAGTGCCGCACTCTCTTGCATCCTCTACGTGGCCTCTGCGTGCGGTACGTGTGCGCCCCTGTGTGTTCTGTACCAGCTGCACGTGCCTGTACGTGCTTTACGTGGGGCCTGTTACGTTGCTTGTGCCCCGTGCGTGCCATACGTGCGCGCCCCCAGGTGTTCCTTACGCGCTGCGTGTGTCACCCTTGGCCCTGCGCGTGCTGTGCTGTACGTGCTCTTGCCCGAGTCAATGCAGCCTACAGCTTGCAGCTCGTGCACGTGCTGCAGGGGAACCCCGTTTAGGGGAGGGCGCGCGGGGGTTCCTGTTGCTGTTCCTTGTTCCTGGACCTTGTCCCTCGAGGGGGGAGCAACGGGAAGGCTGCTCCTGGCAGGGGAGGAGTGCAGGAAATGGCTACACGATAAATTGGGGGGAAGGAAGCGTCATTAAACACGTGGGAGCCACGCGAACTTGGGAGTCTCGGATGGGAAGTCACTGGACTTGCCAGGGTGGGGGTTGGGGGGGCCTGGACCTTCACCCTTGCTGCCTGGATAACCCGTCATCCCCTACTCCGTATTAGTTCTGAGACACCCCCCCTTAACAGAACACAGACAATGTGGGATCCTCCTGTGGGGTCTTTGAGGGGCAGCCCATTCACCCCTATTTCCCTGACCTCTCAATACCTTGGGGAGGGGGAGGAAGCTGAGATCCTTAACAGCACAACAATTTGAGGTCCTCTTTCTTATAGCGCCCCTATTCCCTTACTGCGTGATAGCTTTGGGGTGCACTGACCCCATGCAGGACAGCAAAACGAGGTCACGTACTGGGGTCCCCCTAATCATCTCACTCCATTCTTACCCTAGTGAAGGTCCCTGAGACCCTATGTCCAATAGCAATAATCTGGTGTACCCTTTGTACCGGGACCCCCACAACTGTTTCAGCATGCAGGAGCACCCCCAAGTCGGCCAGGCCTTATACTCCTGCACCCCCCAAACAGCAGCATGACAGAAGGGAAGATAACATTTGTTTTAGGGAACAGATCCCTGAATGACCACCTCAGCGCAGGGAGAGGAGTGAGGCACCGTAGGGTGAGAGGTGAACAGCTGGGGCTGGGGTCACTGTCCTGTGCACTGGGGACCCTGTGGTCAGCGGGCAGGAATCCCAGCCACAGACTTGCCCATGCAAAATCCCAGAACAAAACCAAACCAAACCCCAGTTCACAGCCACTGAGTGGATTCTGTCTCCCAAGGACACTGCAGGACAGGATAGAGGTGCCCCCGAGGGTCCCTCTCACACCTTAAAAACCTGACACCTAGCACCCTGCTGGACAAGTGGTCTCCCTCTGTAAACACATCCTTCAGAGGATGATGCATCTGCTTGGACCCACCCGGGGTCCTCAGGACTCACGGTCCATGTGGCAGAAACTGCTGTGGGTTTTTAATGTGTGCCAGCCTGTCTCCCCAGCCCTCCATCCAAGCACCCGTGCAAAAAGGGATCCATCCATCTGTCCAGCCACCCATATATCCACTCATTTATTTGTCTGTCTGTCTAACTGCCTGCCAACTATCTATCTGTCATCCATCCACTCATCCGAGTGCTCGTCTATAAGACCATCCATCCATCCATCCATCCATCCATCC